ACCACTTTCCCGACAATGTCAAAATCCCGACAAGTTAGCCCGCATTAGGTTAGGGTTAGTGTTAGTTCCGGTCAATTATTGTCTGGATTTTGTTTGTCGGGAAAGAGTTGTCGGGAAAATAATAGAAACCCGTTTTACAAAGTTCAACGCTTTTCTTTATTGACATTTTTATTTGTTTAATGTACTTAATGCATTTATTTAGAATTATTCTAAATACGCATTTTTGACTACTACATCACCGCATAACAAATATCACAACTTCTCACGTTTTAAATTAAATTCATGGTCCTTCGTTATCGAATAATTTCATCATATTACCTTAGTTACGGCATATTCCATCATACATTAATACAATAATACCCTTATAGGAAGACTTTCGTATGATAGGTTATTTAAATCAATTTAATTTTATATTATTTATACAGTTTAAAATACTTTTAATAAAAAATAAAACTACGAAGAATAAACAAAAAAGAAGCATGTAAGAAGTCTTATTAGGGTTGTAGAACTTTACTATTAACTATAATCAAATCCCTTTTTGCTTTAGAGAAATTAGCATGGTAATAACCCAATTCCATCTATTTTTAAGAAATCGCTATTATGCTAACTTTTCTAAAACCAGAAATGTTTTTGATTATTTTTTATTGTTGAGTCCTACAACCCTAATAAACTTTTTATATGCTTCTTTTTTGTTTATTTTTCGTAGTTTTATTTTTTTAAAAAAGTACTTTAAACTGTATAAATAATGTAAAATATTAAATAAATTTAAACAGCCAATCATATGAAGTCTTCCTGATTGTTATCGATTTATTTCATCATACTATCTTGGGTTAGCATCCCTTGAATTAAGCAACCAATTATATAAAAGTCTTCTTGATTGTTATCAAATTATTTCATCATACTATCTTGGATTAGCACCTCTTGAATTATTTCATCATACTATCTTGGATTAGCACCTCTTGAATTATCTCATCATACTATCTTGGATTAGCACCCCTTGAATGTGTGCCAGGTTTGTAGCGCAGATTTACTGAATTACGAATCAGATTACAAAATCAGGTACAACATAACACGATCAAGAAAATTCAAAACAAATGTTAGTTTAGCTTACTTCTCAAAATTGTACATAAAAAACCACTTTTGGTGCTCTAACAAAACGTTTTCGATGGGCAATTTTATTATACAAACTACTCTTATCTAGCCTATAACATTAACCCTAACCCTAACATGAACGAACTTTAAAGAATCTGTGTTGCGCCATAAACCTGGCACACATTCAAGTAATGCATTGGATTACGATATTAGTTCATCATACTTGGACTATGATATGTAATATAATCTAATATATATCCCGTCATACATTGATACTCTCAGGTTCATGTGAATAAATCACACTTTCAGACAGGTGGATTCGGATACAACCAATCAAAAACGTTAAAGTGTACGAACTCAGAATTGAATGGTATAGATGTGTTACGTTATTTAAATAAGTTACATGAATTATTACGGGGCCTATAGCTAAGACTTGGTAGAACCACATTCATTAATTAATTAGTTTAAAAATGGTTAAAAATCTATAGGATTCATATATTATATCTTTTTGATTAAGAATCATTTTTATAAATAATAAAAGAGTTTTTTATTTTAGTGAAAACCCTTGTGCCTTTAGCTAAGATTTTGTGAAACAGGCAATAATTAAATTTGCAATGAAGCATTAGTAAAATAAATAAATAAATAAAATTAACCTTATAAAAATTGAACAATAAATTTCAATTAAGTGAAATAGGATTTAGGATAGTGTTACAAAAAAAATAGAGATTAGTAGATGTTTGTTGTTTCTGAACAATTAGTAATTCAATTGAGCCAAATTTTTATATCAAGATTTGACGCAGTTCAGACTATTGGTTAACAAGAAAATTAATATAAATGATTATATAAAATTTTCAATTTATCTAGTTAGTACTATATAAAAGTTTGTTTAATTTGAACCACTGGTTATTGAGAAACTTGATATATAAAATAGTTTATAGGCCTATGAATTACAAAGATGTATTTGAGAAAAACGTAATTAGCAAATTTCTTGATAATTGGCAGTCTGTTTTGGACCAAATTTTTATGAATTATATAATAAATTTATTTCTTTAATATGTAAAAATTCGATGCAGTTTAGATCATTAGTTGTCAAGAAAAAAAATTTAAGATTTGAAAATTCTATATCATCCTTTATATCAATTATCTCAATAACCAATAATTCAAATTATAAATTTTTTAGATTTTGTAAAAAGTCATTTGTTATATAATTTATAAAATTTTATTTGGATTACTAGTTGTTGAGATCTTATTACGGTCTAGGATTTACAATTTTTTTAAATTTATAAAAAATATATTTTAAAAAACAATCACTATAAAAATAAAAATAAAACCTTAGAAAAAGTATATTATAAACGTTTTATAAATAGAATTTTAACCTCTTCCCCATTAACGCTGATTGAAATATGCAATTTTTTATCACCGTCATTTTTTCGTAACGTAAACTCCATCTCGAAATACTAATTGAACTATGAAATTCAAATCCACTTAAATCCCGTTCCCGAATAATAGTAAAACAAAATAAGTAAAATGAAATAAATAAAATTTAGTATACTTAAATAGAAACTAACATCTTCGTTTACAAGTGAGCCAATAACCAAAAATAGTTATCATTTATTAATTTCGGCAAATTAACTAAGTAAACAATAAATTATACTATCCATTAAGTCCCATATAGCTCCAAACCAGAATGAAAAATAATGACTAATAGTTGGTGCTTGCCCCAATGGATCATTTTCACATTGAACATACATAAATGTATTTCCAATAGCCACAGCACTTGAAATAATGAACCACCAACCTCCCATAGCAGTTACTAAAGCTGAACGCTCTGGGGAATATCCCCTTGGATCTTTTTCATCATCATTCAAAATAAACATACATAAAAAAATAGCAGGCAAATTTTCAAACATAAGCAGCATATTCCAACCAAACCACGCACACGCAGGTAATGGACACGGATGCGTCATGCACTTCAAGTAGCATGGTTTTATGCATCCACAGCATCCACAGCCAATTTCACAGCAATTACATTTGAAACAGCAATCAAGGCAATTAAAGCAACAACAAGCGCTACCATTACTATATCGACAATAATCGGTTCCACAGCTTCCGCAGCAACAAAAAAAACCACCAGAAACAACTACAACAGCCGCATCCACCTTCGATACAACAACTTATCGGTGTAAAACAAATTAATACTGATGATAAACAACATAAAAATACTGAAAACCACGTATGTATAAATCCTCCAGCTGAATTACCGCCATGTATCGCAAATATTAAAGGAAGCGTTGCCATTACAAGATAAAAATCTAACTTCTGTCGTTTGCCAATATCAAGAAATACTAATACAATATCTATAATAATTATAATAGAATGAAGTGCATACTTCGCAAATAAGCTTTTTTTAGAACCTTTTCTTAACCACACACGTATAGTGCTAATGATTAACATAACTGTCGTTGCCCAAATTCCTAGTACCTGGAATAGATTTATTGGTCTGTAACTACACATAACTTCACGCCATTGTGATCGTGGTGCATCATATTCTATGTCTCTCGCTTCAATTTCAGATATATTGTAATGTACATCATTCTCAATTCCTGACGGTATATACATGTTTATGTATTTTTATAAATCTACTCTACAGTATATGTCTTTAAGATTTCTTTTGGCACCCACTATACAGACTCATTTTTCATTCTTAGCTATTAATTTATATTATATTATTCGGAGTTAATAATATGTTT